AAACAACAAATAAAAGGTGAACTATCAAGAATATAAATTGAAGGTTTTTGCTTTTCTTTATCGGCTGAGCACAAATCATATATATTCTTTAGTATTTCAAGCAATTGCTTTAAGCGTTGGTTTTGAATTGATGCCGGCTGGATTGGCTGCCAATATCTATCTTTTTCTAGTTCTCCAAAATATCCACCAACTTGTTTTTTTGAACCGCCGCGCCAAACTAAAAAACACAAAAAAAGGTTGATTGAAATTAAACCCAAAAATCCAAATACCTCATGTATTGTTTACATCTGTGAAGAAAAGAAGTCTTCAGAATTACATAACCACATATCATTTCGATGAGACGATTATGTAACTTTTCATTATGAATCATGCCCGCGGGACTTGAACATCAGACTAAGTTCTTTCAGTACACACTCCCTTGTGAATTGCTGGAAAAAATGGCTATAAAGCTAAGATCCTATTATTGTTTGAGACAAAGCAATTTGATTGAATTGAAACTGTTTAATTCGTGCACTATTTTGTAAATCTTTTACTGAACACGCCCTCTCCTATCAGTATTTGAGAGGGTCATTTTGACTTCGATAGCTACGAGTTTTCAGTGCCAAAGTCTGCACACAAACTACTTCCAAGCTAAAAGAGGAGCTAAACAAGGTACTAGTGTATAAAGATTGATGTCTTTACTCTCCCAGCAAGTTTTTTTGTAATTAACAGTTTCAATTACATGTCGTAAAATCAAGTCAAATTCACTTTGTTCAACAGGAAAAGTTTAACCATGAAACATTTCATCGCRTTGTTCCTTGTCCTGGCTGTGATTCCGCTTGCCAGTCCTCAAGAGCCGCTGCAGAAAGCCACCATCGATGATGACGATATGCAAGGTACGTTGATATTTTCAGTCTTATTAGTTAGCTGTCGTTTTCGCAGTGTTCATGTTACCAATAGGCACTGTGCAGAGACGCCATTTTGTTCAACAAAGCATGATGCGAGTTTTAGTTCTCGCATTTGATAAAGGCCCTAAAGATTTCGCTAAAACCGTTTTGATGTCTTCTTTGTATATTAGGAACAACTAGTTGTAAAACAGGACTGTTGAAGCGGACGTAAATAAAAACAATGTCGAGTAGTACTACAACTCATCATGCTTTCCCGCGCTCAAAGTGGCGTCGCTGCACGTTGYCTATAGGTAGCTCTATCTATTTTCCCTTCGTCGAGACAGTTTTTGATTATATTTATTATCTAGAAGATTAGACCAGTTTTATGACTGGTTAAACTCATCACTAATGATGAGCTTGGCGTTGGGTGCGTGTACGGTGGGGGTTAGGGTCCGAGGCTCGATCAGCTGGTTACCATGGAAACCCAGTCACGTCCCCACCTTGCACCTGTCACACTGGTCGCGACCAACCAGTGGAATACTTACCTATACTTACCTTGTTACCAGGGTGTGGAGGGATGGGAATCGAGAATTTGCGATTGCGATAATGTACTTTGGTTGCAGGCAAGCTAGCAATGATGATTGTCAAATCTGTGGTCGAATAAAGGCAGGCAAACCACGTGACCTCAGTGCTCCTGATTGGCTGGCCGCGAAGGGTTGTCAAGCGTTGAGATCCTTCGTTAATTGCGCTATTAGTGGGTATAGTATCTTATAGCAAGCTGGCAACCTAACCCATTTCGTGTCAAGACAGCCAATAATGATCCCTGCTTATCAACACCGGTAGTGAATTCGGTGGTCGCCGGTTTAGAAGGCTATCATTAGMTCGTGTCTAACCTTGCTTAAATTACATTTAACCACATTTATATAGAAATGTGAGAAAGGAAAAAAATGCAGGAAATGTCTCGAAAGTTGATATCTTCACCTTTCTTATTATTCTTTACTTCTTGTTAGTGCACAAAGACAAGAGAGTTATCTCAGCGGGTACCGCCATTGCAGTAGGACAGTTTAGCATCAACGTGCTTAACAATGTCCTGGCTGCAATTGGAAAAGTTAGYCGCAAAATTGCCATTGGTGTTGAAAACGAGTCAGGACTCAAATGGGAAGCACTGAACGTGTTCTTCAGATATGGTGCGTCCGACATTACACTTCCGATGAAAGTTGAAAACGCCAAAGCTCTTTTGTATACTGCMAGGAAAAGTCAYAGYATTTTTATGACGGGAACGTCTGCAGTKTTTACTTATTCAATGAGCGATGGCAACACCTTAGCAGTCTTGTTTGTTGTCCCATATAACAAGCTGTCRTTCTCCAACTGGTGGAACGTCAAGGTCTATAATGGAAGGAAGATGGCGGATTGGAGGATGTGGAAAGAGCTGTACAATAAAAACCCATTCCCTGCAAATGCATGGCATCAGCGAAACCTTGGATACGGGGTTAAAGTGAAAGGGTACATGACCAATGCTGGTGAGGCAACATTGCAAATCCGTATCAGCAAGGCTTAGATTAGGATTGAAATATAAATTGAAAACCRACCGGTCTGTGAGATTGTACATGTATTCTGGAATTTGAAAATTGAATAAATTGCTGTTTACATCATAAAGTGTTGTGTATTTAAAAAAAATAGAAGAAATCGCTGGAATAAATCGCGCGCCGTAAAGGTTGTAAATTTGATGTATATATGATGTAAATGTCCAAAATGATGTATATTTGATGTAAATCATTTCCATCATTTTGGACACCTACAACATATATTTCCATCAAATTTACAACCTTTATGGCGCGCGATTTTTTTCCAGTGCGACAAGGCGCACGAAAAAAAACACACTTGGCAATAGGCTGATCTTTGTTTACAAAAATTCACAATAAATTTTCAATGAAGGGTTCTATAGCTCTCTTGAGACTCCCCKTGCGATAATGTTATGTCATCTATCAAAATGAGTCTTTTTTTCATACCTTAATGAACAAGAAATAAAATTTGAACTATTATTACAAATTGAATATTTTTGTTTTTTCTTTATCGGCTGAGCACAAATATATATATATATATATATTCTTTAGCAGTTTATGCAAGCACTGGTTTTGAATTGATGTCAGAATCGCGATCCTTTGCTCTCCATCAAAATAGCCACCAACCGCTTATTTTTGAACCGCCGCGCCAAACTAAAAATTAAACCCACAAATCCAAATACCTCATGTATTGTTTACATCTATGAAGTCTTCCGCATTACATAACTACATATAATTTGGATGGGACGACCGATTAGAGCAAACGCAAGAAAACTCCCATGAAATAAAATCAAACTAAATACTAATAAATAGCGGCTAGCTATTTAGAGACAATTTGTCAGTATCAATGAACCAGAACACAATGAAGATGAATCCATGCACATGGGATTATTTCAATGGTTCATTGATACTGACAATTTGTCTCTAAATCAGTAGCCGCTATTTGTTAGTATTTAGTTTGACTTTATTTCATGGTTTTCCTGCGTTTGCTCCTATGTAACTTTTGTATAAAAGGCATGGTCCGCGAGCATGGCGAGACTTGAAAATTTTGTAAATAGTTTGGACGCTGAACACGTCCTCTCCTATGTATTTAAGGGGGTCATTTTGACTTCGACAGTAGTGTCGCTATGTTCGGATATATAACCTTTCGGTCTTTGATCGGTGATCGATTTATCGTTATAATGCGTTCAATGTTTTTTAATCAGTTATTGCCGAAGTTTGAGTTACGCCTTCTCGTTCAAAAAGCAACTGAATATTCTTTGAGGTTCTCGTCAATTGTCTTCAATGACGTCCCTTCGATCTCATGCATGATTTTGAGAAGCCAGTAACTCGTGTAAGAAATTCGCCCCGTGTAAGAGAGTTGGAATCCGGAATCCTCTAGT